CCAATCAACTTGGAGAGCCACATGAACTGAAATGGTGTAGAGGCTTTCTGTTTTACCATAAACTTAAGACTCTTTTGATCCGTTTTAATGATAAATGGCATGTGTGACAAGGAGGCACTCTACATTTGTACCGCATGGACTACAACCATTAGTTATTTCTCGTACACCGAAAGAGATTAGTGGCAGGGTCCTAAAGCACGATTGATGAAACAGATGGGGTGATTGTCTTGCATTAGAACCACACCAATACCCGCATTTGAAGCATCTGTCTTAACCAAAAAATTCTTGTCAAAGTCAGGAAAAGCGAGGACAAGCGCAGATGTGAGAGCTGTTTTAAGGTTGTTGAAAGCCGCTGCTGCCTCAGAGCCCCATGTAAACCCATCTTTCCTCAAGAAAATCGTAAAATGGTGAGCAATGACACTATACTCTTGTATGAACCGCCGATAGTAGTTAGCAAGGCCGAGAATGCTGCACAACGGTTTCTGATTAGTAGGAGTAGACCACTGAGAAACTGCTTGGATCTTCCTCTTCCTCGTCCCCACTGCCATTATCTGGAGTCTTTTTTATCTGGTGCTGTTTGAGGATTTTTGGCAATGATTTCAGGAGGAACAACTTCATCGTCGGCTTCTGCTGGTGTCGATTTATATACCCCTCTAGTGTCTTTCACCTTAGCCATCTCTGAAAACATAAAATCCGACATCATTAGGAGATTACCTTGGTTATACAAGAAGAAATCAATCGGATTCTGCTTATTTATACAATAAGATAATTTCGGTTTTTGCTTACAGATAAAGGAGGAGGAGGAAGGAGAAGACGAACCAGAGAAGTAATGCGGAGAAGAAGATGAATCAGAGAGTCGATGCAGAGGAGATGACAAACCGGAGAAAATATTTGGAAGAAGAGATGAATAAGATTAGACATATGATGAAAGAGAGACGAAGATGATTGAGGAATAGGAGATAAAGATTAATTTCAGAAATATCAGACTCCAATCATTCACCGCCAGTAACTCAAGCGTCGTGAGTTGTCAGGATTTTGGGGTCGGAGTATCAACACAAGGATTCTCTGATTTACAGTGTGTGGGAATTGTTAATTTAAAGGTGAATTTAAATTTGTTGGATCCAACCCGTATAATAAGATTTATGTGGGCAAAACCCAAATTGGTTTTGTAATTATAAAAAATTTCGAAGGTTAGAATTATACTTTACCGGCTTTTGTATTATAAATAAAACGAAAAATAATTTATTATAACAATGACATATAAGGTTAGCTTTTCTGACATGGTAGAATTTTAGCCATTTATTCAATTTTATACTCCATTCGAAATGAATATAGAACAAAAAATTTGAAATGGTTATTGTAGATGGTTTTTGTTTCACATGGGAACTAATAAAAACAGAATCAGTACCGCACATCAACCTTTTTTTCTCTTTCTTTTATCTCTGCATTCTCTCTGGAACACAAAAAGCAGATTTTGTGTGTTCAATTGCCGCCGGTGATCGTGAGCTTTCACAGCCATGATAGGTTTGGTTTTTCTGTTTTTATGGTTTTTTTTTTAAGTTTCTGACTTTGGTAGATCAAATTTGGATCTGGTTTTCATGAGTTAGATGAAACTTTCTTTATCAGATCTATAACGGATCATATATGTTTTGATCTTCTTTGCCAGTTTTTTGTTTTTCCTAAATAGATGGTTTAGCTTTGCTCAACTTGTTATTTTGCTTTCTATATGCAGGTTTCAATTTTGTTTTCTTTTGATGAAGAAGTTAGTTTTGGGGCTTCTTTCCCCTGCCCAACAGCTTAATTTTCGTTCTTCACCTCTGCAATAATTCTTCTCCCCATGGTGCCTACTCAGCTGTTCTTTGTTTTTACGTGATATTGGGTTGAGTATCATTTTGTAGAAGATTTGGTGTTGTTTGATTTTATTTTTTAGCTGTGTTTTTCTTCTTTGCTGGTACTTTGTGTGAGAGGATCTTTTTATGTTACAAAAAGTTGATGTTTCCATTTGGTGGACCTTGGGAAAAGACAATGATTCTAGTTTTTAGATTTCCTAGAGTTTTAAAATTATGTAGATTTTAGTGCCAATATCAAATTTGAGTTTTAGTTAAATTGCTTAAGTTTAAGTTGGGATTTGTTTCTCGGAAAATTTTGTTTTCCACCGGTTTAGCTTCCAAAGATATTTAGTTTTTCTGCCAGTTTAGTTTTCCTCTTTTAAACTTAGTTTCCGAAAATATCTTGTTATTCTACCGGCTTTGAATTATGTATTTGTATTTTATCTTGTATTCTACTTTGATGTTTAATATTATTAAGGGTTTTTTAATTCTATAACCATATTTGCAAAACAATCAAAGAATATAGCCATGCTATTTGAAAAATTAGTAAACTAATCATGGCCTACAATCAGTTGTCGAAAATCTTCTTGTACTTACTATACTATGTACTATACTATGTATCAATTTTATGGAATAGTTCTATTTGATATAGTGTTAGAGGGGAAATGAGCACATTTCCTAAAAAGGCCTTCCCTCGCAATAACTTAAGCCCGTCAGGATCAGGAAGACCACACCGACCTAGTTCGGATTAAAGAAAACTCTCTGGAGATAACCCTTGAAGACCGGAAACATCGGACTAACTCAAAGGATAAAAGAGAATTTTCTTATTCCTCAGAGAAAAAAGGATATTTCCATATCATAGATATGGAAATATTCACGAAAGACAAAAGGAAAAGGAATTCGGAGCAACCGACCTCCCATTCCTATAAATACAAAGATCCCGAAGCCTGGAAGACCAACTCATACATTCTAGAGAGCAGCAGAGCTAAAATCAGAGACTCCAACGCTTTCTAGTTTACCTCGCAAACCTTCTTTTCACTTCGGCATAACCTCACGGTTATCCCATTCTTTGTAATCGCTTCGCTTACTTGTTATTAATAAAAATATTTTCTTCTCCAAAACCTACAACTGTTAATCAAACCCTAGTGGTGATTTTCTGGTTCAATATATAGTATTTATAAAAATATTTTTTGTAAAGAGGAAGGAAGAGAAGGAGACGAGAGAGGAAGGGAGGAGAGGGAAAATGAGGAAAGGAGATGAGATGAGGGGAGGTGAGCATACAAGAATGGAGGAGAAAAAGATGAAAGGAGAAAAAAAGATCGGAAGAGAAATGAGTATGAAAAAAATAATAAAAAAGTAATTTTGTATATATTGTAGCACCTAATTTGTTATGGTTATTTGATTAATTTAGCTTGGTCATATGGTCATATAACTTAATTTTTCTATTATTAAATGATAAAAAAATGGTTTTTGTTTCATTTAGTTGCTACCGTTTAGCGTTTAACGGTTTTGCAAACGGAAGATTTATTTCAATAACTGATCGAAGTTAAGGGGTTCAAGTTATAAAGAGAATATTGCTGAGGGTCTAAAAGTAGATTGGAATACAGTTGAGGGTTTTGCTTTTTCTTTGATAAACACTTTTTAAATTTTAATTACGGAAGCTTGAGTTGGTGCTTCTCTAGACTCTAGAATGAAAATCTAATCTCAGCCGTTAACAAATAAACAAAAGCAATGTGAACCTCTAATCTAACGGCTAAACAGAGTTAATGGATCCTACACGTATCAGTAATCAAGTCTAATTAGCCACGTGGTCAGACGAGGTTTGCCTCTTCGAAAAGTCTGATACCCTAGAACCTGCTTCTACACATCATTCACCACGTGTCACGTCTCGATTCGAGAAATATAATATGGGCTCCACCCTCTTGTACTCATCTTCGTCTATTTTAATGGAATGCGTTCGTTGCGCGAAAACCTTCTCATTTTTTTTGTTGGTATACTCTGCGTTTCTTCTCTCCGTCTCTCTCTACTTTACCTCTGGATCGAAACAGCAACTTTGCGTCCACGTTTTGGTCTCTCGCTCTCTCTATTTATCCGATAAATCTCGGGAGTTTTTCGAGGTCGTCTGCTTCTATGCCATTTTGCCAAGGTTAGGATCCGATTCATTTCTATCTTTGTTCCGGTGTAATCTTCAATTTCCGTAGATCAATTCAATTTGAATCGAGATTTTAAGCCTTTTATTGGCTTGGATTTATGTTCTCAGAGTTAATCCTTATTTATGGTGTTTCGAGCCTATGGAGTTGATTGAATCGAGCTGTTCATCTCGTAATTTGGGTTGATTTTGGTGTTTTGATGAGTTTCTGGATCAGATCTGACAATTAAGTGTTGATGATGATGTGCTGTAAATGTAAACAATTCAGCTATTGTGTCGCGTTTCCACCGTATGAATTGCTGCTCTATTAGGATTATGCCAGAGCGTTGCTAATTATTTACACATGCCTGATCAAAGTTTGTGAGATTCGGCCTATGATTGACTCTTTCTGTGATGTTTATTAGGGTTTTGTGCAGTTGGGTCTTGGCATTCAGAATTAGGGTTTCAGTTTTTGTGTGATTCCTCTTGGTTTGTTGACCACTTGAATCGCAGTCCCTTGAGCAATTGTGTGTATAGGTCAATTTCGATAACCTCAAATGAATATTAGGTTTACTCTATTGGTTTAGATTGCTAATTTCCGGTTTTTCTGTTAAATATTTTGCATCTAGAACTGCGAGCTCTTGCAGATAGAAATCAGATGTGTTCATTTGGTATTATCCTCCGAGACTAAAATCTAAGAAAGTAAGCTTCTCCTTGTAGAAAATGGGCGAAGTTAAGGGATGTTGGAAATTAGGACGAATGCTTTCAAGGGATAAGTCTGCAAATTCTTACAACGTCTCACTTCTGTTATCTCCGGTTGTTTCTGTTTGGGATTGTATCGTCCGTAAAATGAGGTATACTTACATACCTGAGTGGGTGTAGTAGTCACTGAGATCATTAGCGCCAGTGAGTTTAGTTCAGTTTAGTTAACCAAAGAAAGAAGGAACATTTTAGCAATGGATACTTATTAGTTCTTACTCATTGAAGAGTGTCTAAAAAGCGAAGCAAAACGAAGAAGTTGAAAGAGAGTTGTGTAAGCAATCATGGATAGTAGTAGCTTGATGAGCAGACAAGCTCAGCCGATTGTTAGGAAAGGGAAGAAGAAGCAAGTAAAAGATGAAACGGACAGAATCAAACAAGCCGAGAAGAAAAAGAGACGTATTGAGAAAGCCATTGCTACTTCCGCAGCGATCCGTGCTGAGCTAGAGAAGAAGAAGCAAAAGAAGAAGGAAGGACAGCAAGAAACTGCAGCAGATGAAGAAAACTCGGCAGATGCTGCAAAGAAGAAGCAGGAGAGAGATGAACTCGAGCGTACCAAACAAGCAGAGAAGAAAAAGATTCGTTTGGAGAAATCCATCGCTGCTTCTGCAGCTATTAGGGCTGAGCTAGAGAAGAAGAAGAAGCTTAAAAAGCTAGAGGAACAGAGGAGATTGGACGAGGAAGGTGCCGCCATTGCAGAGGCTGTTGCTCTGCACGTCTTACTCGGCGAAGACTGTGATGACTCGTATCGAATCATGCTAAACCGAGAAACGGGCTTCAAGGCATGGGATTATAAATCCAACAGATTCAATGGTGGAGGAAACAGATTGTTTCATGATCATCGATGCTTAAGCTATGCGGTTCATAGTAACTGGTCAGTGCCATATGAGACTTTTGCGTGGGGATGGGATAACAACAACAACAACATGGGAGTATCATCAGCTGATTTGATTGCTGCTCAAGCTGTGTCGTCACTGCAGATTTCTGAAAATGCTGACATGGACGCCATTGTTTTCAATGGGGATATGTTCTAAATTCTAAGCCTGTTGTGTTTCTTTTTATTTTTCTTTTTATTTTGTCTTGTTTTTTTTTTTACAACTTTCTACTTTATTGTCTCTTTTTCATATCATTGACAATTGCTGTTAGTTTGTATATTTAAAGACTGTCTATACCAATCTTTGGTTGATATTTTCTGAAACTTTCTAATAAGTTATTCTTTGTTTAAATCAGTATATATATTAGTAACTCAATATGTACATTCGTTAAAATCGGAACACAATTATCTGCATAATTTAAGGTTAAAGGTGTAAGTATAAATAAAAACCTAGATTATCGTGGATATAAAAATTCACACTCCGAAATTTATGTGTTTTAGTAAGGAAAGAAACTTAGGAGAATTACTGGTTAAATTCTCTCGAACAGATTGATTATATAAGCAAGCATTAACTGAAATAAGGATTTGATATTAATTGGTTGAATGAAACGGTTACAAAGATTTCTATGAAAGAGATGAACTAAAAAGAACTTTGAGAGCAGTTACAGGATTTTCCCAAACTAAGCCATTCGTCTCATTTATCTAGCTCGCCATGTCGAGCTTCAACCTCTAGCGCGTACCTCGGCCACGTGCAGCAGATTCAGTCGGAAATCTCGCCATGTGCAGCAGCTTCCTCCGCGAAATTTGGACTCGTTTGAATTGGCGAGAATATGTTCAGACTTGGATCCTTCCTTGTTTCTTGGAATTTGGTCGAATTGGAGCTCGACCTCGTCGAACGGAACGTTTATTGTTCAGGATTGGATCTTAAAAGTGAGTGGGCCTGGGTCGTGGGGTCAAAGCCAAGTCAATTTGGCTTAGCTTGGATCTGTCTGTTGGGCTTGAGTGGGCCGGATTTAGGTTGCTAAATCCAGCTCCAACAATTGCCCCCAGCCCATTAACGAGAGCAAGCTCGAGCTTAATGGGCGGCAAGATGTGACATTTGAAAGATTTCATATCCGACTATGATGACGTCATAGAGTCAGATAATCATTCAAGATTAACGGCTCATATCCTGGAAAGGTGAACAGTCCATTGATCTTGCGGTCGAGAATCGACCTCGAAACTGCAGTTTGACGTGTTGAGATAAATTTGCTGTTATCTTATCCAGGTGGACGGTTGGGATTTGGAGTAAATATCTGCATTTACTTTCTTGTATCGGCGATCGAGCTTCCCGGGGCAAGGTGCAGCCCTCGAGAGGATTCACGCGGAAGTTTTACGACGTGGAAGGTCCAGATGGAGAGAGAGAAAGCTGATCTGACGGTCTTGATTAATCGAGCTCTGCAGCGTGTCAAATCTTCGAGGTCGAATATTCGACGGTTGGGATTGGAAGATCGAACGATCGAGATTGGCGCGTGGCCAGATTCTCCGCGATGACAATTATTAACTAGATATAAAGTCCACCTTCCCCAAACCTTTTTTAACCGCATCTGTTCGACGATTAAAAGTAAATTCTTCTCTCCTCTTTCTTTTTTTTTATTTTCTGCAACTTTTATATGTCGCTTTTCTTTCAGAAGTCGAAAAAGAGAAGTTTTTCAGCGACCAGAAATCTCTTAGTGTTTTTTATTGTTCTTGCCGTTCTGAGAAATTTTTCCTCCTCCCTCCCGATGTCGCAAATCGCAAGGGTCGAAGGCGGCACGAAGGACTTGGTGGCCCCGGGTTCGTCAAAAATCAACGAACAGAAGGTCTTGGATGAACTTCGTCGGGAATGCAAGATTCCCGACAACGTAGAGCTGCAGGTTGTTTTTCCCGATCTCCCGGTTTGTCCTGGAGATCCTCGCTGACATGCAGATGTCTTTCCCGCAGATGTGCCCAAACTTGGTTCTGGCCATAATAGGGTGCGCCATGCGGGCGCGAGAGGAGGCTGTTAGCTTCTGTTTCTCCAACCTGAGGGCGTTTTTCTCTGTTAAATACAATGCCCGCCGTCCCAGGACCTTCTATGCATCCCCGGGATCCAACCGGCGGTTTATTGAGGAGAGCCCGGAGAAGAAATCCGGGTGGGAGAAGACGGGGTTCAAGTTCAAAGTCAACAAGGCATCTGTTGGGAACTTTGACTTCACCCGGCTGCCGGCTGAGTTTCCGGGCAGCGGTTGTTTAGCTAGGCTTTATGCGTTTGCTAGCTTTACTTTATTTTTTGATTCGGCCGGATTTCTGACCTTTTGTTTGTTTTTGTCTATCAGGTCAGCTATCCAAAGCGCCAAGGGATCCCGACGTCGAGCACCGGTTAAAGTTATTCAGGCGAGGAGAAGTCATCTGGAGCACGTTCACGCGAGAACGAGTTTGACGAGTTCTTACCTCACCCGTCCCGGCTCTGGTTTTTGCTCCTGGTAAGTTTTTCCGTCGAGCTGGTGCTGCGACCTCTGTTTATTGAATCACGATGAAGTGGTGTGTATTGGTTTATTCTGCTGGCAGCTGGAGTTTTTCCTCTCCGTTCTCTTCCGGCTTCCAGTTCAGCAAGCTCAAGCTCAGCAATGTCTCGTAAACCGACCTTCCGCCAGAGATCCGAGAAATCCCCAGCTGGTTCCAGCAGCTCCCGGGTACGAGAGCGTCAAGGAGGCCCTCGAGGCCGCGCTCACCTCAGCTCCTGCTCCCACACCTTATCTCTGTGATGAGGAGGTTGAGCAAATAATGAACCCTCAGCCGAACCCCCCTCCACGATTAGTGGGGGTAATTTCCGTTAGCTCGGGTAATACCCAGCGCTCCGTTGATTACCAGGAGCCCGAGCACTCATCCCAAACTGCCTCAAAGAGGCCAAGAGACGACGGAGGAAGTCAGGCTACAGAGCCGCGTCCGTCGGCGTCTAATGGGAGTGAGAGCTCGACGGAAGCCGGCTGTTCCACTGGAATTTCGAGCACACCAAGGATCATCCGATCACGGATGACTCTGAGAGCATGGCAGCCATGTGGCGTCACTTCAGGCCCGCTGGGTGCAAACTTCCTGCTCTCAAGAAGATGACCGCGAGAGAGCTCTACGTGGAGATGGCATTGGCCCAGGAGAAGGTAAGCGTTGTTTTCCTTAACGTTTTGGTTTTCGATGCTCGTAGGCTGCAGAGGCTGGAAACCGGCTCTGTGCTCGCTTTGAGCAGATGTTGTAGGACATCCCTTGTCCGGAGGAGATCGAAGAGATGGGAAAGGTAGTCGGCAAGCTGAAGTCCGACCTTGAGGCCGCGAATGCGTAGGTCGCTCGCCAGACTAACCTCCTTTAGCAGTTCAGAGGCAAGCAGGCTAACATCACCGAGCTCGAGAACGTGATGGTTGATAAGAGCAAGAAGTTCAAAGTTGCCACCGACCAGATCTTCAATGCTCAATCTGAGACAGTGCGAGCTCTCCATGAAGCCTTAGACGCAAGGGAGGAGAACCTCCGTCTGATCCGCGAGCGCGAGGGTGCTATCCGCCAAGCCAGCCGTGAGGCCCGGAAGGAGATGTCTCGTAGGTTCATGGAGGTGATCGAGGGTTTCAAGGTGAAGTGAGAGAAGAAGAAGGCTGAGGGTGTGGCCGAGTGTGATCTTCAAGAGTGCACCGCCAACAAGGAGATGCTCGAGCAGATAGTTGCCAAGACCACCACCGTCGAGGAGAAGCTGGAGAGGGTGACCAAAGATGAAGAAGAGTTGGGAGTGGCTTTTAAGGCCGCCCATGTCTCGGACTTCTCGATCGGAAAGCTGAACCTCCCGGTGATCTCTGAGGATTCGGTGGCTATAGAAGTTGATCCGGCTTCAGGCACGCCCCTCAGTCTTCATCAATTTGGTTCAAACGCAGATGAAGGTGAGAGCAATGACGCAGAGAAGGGAGGCGAGGATGAGAAGATGGGTTGTTAGCTCGATGGCTGACCATGGTTCCTTTCTCTTTCCTTTCTTCTTTTCAAATTTTTTTTTCAGACTTAGTTGGCCGACGGGGCTTTTACGCTGGTTCTTGTGCCCAGGACGGCTTTAATCCCTTTTTTTCTTTTTTGAACTCATCTGTGCCCGAAAAGGCTTTAGTTTTTAATGCAATCGCGCTTCGTGCCTTTTTTTTAATTTTTCCTTTTGCATTTGGATTGCTCGAGTAGGATTTTTGCTAAGTTGTTTGGTAACTTAGGGAAGCGGACTAGGAGTATCGAGCCTGAAGTTTAGTTCGCTAGTCGTGAGTTCGATGCCCGATCTGTTAGCTGCGAGTTTGTTGTTTGATTTATCAGACTTAGATAAAACGATTAGGTTGCAGAATGTGATCCGTTTGTTTTGAGAAAAATGGCTAAGTTATTTAGCTCGAATTTTGTTTAGGTTTTAGGAGATGGATCGAATTGCTTCGCGATGAAGTTTCGGTGATCGAGATGGAGTTTTCTTTTCTTTGAACTAGGCATTTCTCAGTTTCGGCTTTTTGATGGAGAAGAGGGTTCGGTTTTACTCTGAGTTTCCAGACATAGGGCTCAGTCGTTCCTGATAAACTGCGAGCTGCGTTGGGTTTGCCGATTCGAGGTCCGGAGCTCCGGCTATGGTTGGAGTCGAGTTGTAAATATGGCCGCATCTGGGAAGTGGAGTAGGACTCCGAACTTAGTTGATTTACGAAATGAGAGATGTGTACCTTGTGCTTTCTGGAAAAGCATCTAGAATAGGTGGCTCCCCCCCCCCCCCCCCCTCCCCCCCCCGAAGGAGTGAGGTACGTGTGTACTGTAGCTCGATTATGTCGAGGTGTGGGAGAATGGGTTGGTTTCATAGGACTTTACCCCCCCCCCCCCCCCCCCCCCCCGAACGAGTGAATGAATGTTGCGTGAGGTTGAGCTTGCTAGTTACGAGGTGTGGGTGGACGGGCTATGTTTTGACCTCGAAGGCGAGCTGTGGAGCTTGAGTTTAATGTATTTCAGCTTATAGATGTATGACGAGGATGGTCCGAACTGTTTTGGTTCGTGATATCGGTTTTGACAAATATAATTGTTGCTGAGTAAATGAATTATTATTCCAAGTAAAAATGAAAAAGGGAGATTATACGACGTAGGGTCACTGCGCGTAGCTCGCCTATTGATGTTGTCGTG